ATCCAGATTTTGTAACTATGATTCCTGAGAGGGGTTAAGTTCCCTTGGACAGGTAATAAGCAGAGAAGCAAAGTCTGTGTGGCGCAAAGGCACAGGCATACCCTTTCTCCTCTCTGCACTATGTGGAATCATATGTGATGCTGGGAGGGGAAAGGCATAGACACTCTTCTATCTGAAAAAAAAAAAAAAAATATATATATATATATAAATTACAATCTGTGGCAGAGACATACTGGGTGATGACTTGTAATTGCATTGTAGAGGTTGAAGCAAAGTCTGACCATAGGGGCCTCAGGTGCAACTTGAGTAAAGACAGAGGGGTGGCACCCCGCCCCTGTCAGTCACAGAAGAATGTTGGATGAATCAGGTTCATTGGCTTCCTGCAACTGGGGCAGGCGCGTTCACCCTCCAGAACAGTGCACAGGTCAACACAAGAGACCACAATCTGAAAAGACCAAATTCACAGCTGAGTCAATAGTCCAAATCTGGGCTGTCTATCCAGAGAGGTGGCAACAGAGCTGGAGCAAAGAATGGAAGTAGAAAGGGGGCAGAGAAACCAGCCAAGCAGCTGCACAAGGACAGTAGAAGTGGGCAAACAATTAGGTAACCTTCTGGAACCAGCCTGCAGTTGTCACGGGGGTGGGTGGGTAGGGGGATTGAGGAGTCAACCCAAATATTGCTCAGTATAAGATCAAAGAGATTGTGCTCTATTGGTACATATGGAATACTATGCAGCTGTTGAAAAGAATGAGGGGGAACAGTGTTCAGGAAACTTTATCCAGTGCGTTACTCAGCTTTTGTGCCACTGTGACCAAAACACCTGATAAAAACTACTTAGAGAACAAAAGCTTTCTTTCCCTTCCTCTCTCCCTCCCTCTCTCCCCCACCACTCTTTCTTTCGTCCCTCCCTCCTCCTTCCTTCCTTCCTTCCTTCCTCTCTTTCTTTCTTGACCAGGGATTGAACCCAAATTAACCACTGAGCCACATCCCCAGCCCTTTTTTAGAAGCAGGATCTTGCTGAGTTGTTTAGGGCCTTGCAAAATTGCTGAGGCTGGCCTTGAACTTGCCACCCTCCTGCCTCAGCCTGTCGAGTTACTGGAATTACAGGCACACACCACCATGTCCGGCATGGAAATATTTATTTTGACTCACAGTTTCAGAGGTTCAGTCCGTGGTCCGCTGGCCCCAAGCAGAACATCATGGGAGAAGGGCAKAGAGGAGGAAATTTGCTCAGCTCATGGTAGCAAGTAGACAGAAATGGGGGTGGGGTTTGGAGAAGATGAACCCTTTCAAGCACATGCCCAGTGACCTACTTCCTCCACCTCTCAGTGATCCGTTCAGCTATCAATGGATTAATCCACGGATGAGGTCAGAGTCCTCACGGTCCACTCATTGCCGAAAAGCCTCACCCCTGCAGCTTGAAGCATTGAAGACCATGCTTTACACACACACATTTTTTTTTTTTTTTGAGAATGTTCCAGATCCAAACCATAACATCCAGTAAGAAAAGAAATTATGGAGCCAGGTATGGTGGTGCCCACCTGTAATCCCAGGAACTTGGGATGCTGAGGCAGGAAGATCACAAGTTCCAGGTCCCTGGGCAACTTAGAGAAACCCTGTTTCAAAATAAAAAGTAAAAAGGTCTGAGGATGTAGCTCAGTGGTAGAGCACTCCTGGATTCATCTCAAATACTACAAAGAAAAAGAGGAGGGGGAGGAGGAGGAAGAAGGAAAAGGGGAAAAATAAATCATGTGTGGGGTGAGATGTATAAAAGTTAATAAATAGGAGAGTCTGAAAGGATACACTTGGACTGGTTAACAGCAGTTGTGTCTTTTATAACTTTTTTTGTTCCTTTGCAATACTGGGGATGGGATCCAGACCTCATACTTGCTAGGCAAGTGCTCTACCACTGAGTTATACCTCAGTCTCTGGTATTCCCAATAACTTTTAATCTTACAAATGTCTTGAGTTGTTTGAAAAACTTTGCAAAGTAGTTAAATGACATTGTAGCAATGACTAAAAGAATAATCTGAAGGGTCTTTAGATCAATAAGAAAAAGAACCACTTTGGAGCATCTACATGCGGAATCCTCAACCTTTCTSTTCTATTCTGAAAAGCTTAGTATGTCCTAGACTTTCCAGAGCCTTCAAATATGGTATGAATCTGGGGGTTAGAGTGTTTGTGACTCAACACTTATTTGGATCTAAGCTCACCTTTATGGCTCATCCCCACCCACCTCCTTGCTCCAGTTACAGATTGATGGGAGGATGACAAGAGGGTAGTGAGCCGGATACTGTGAACGAGGTCTCCAGTGAGACTCCTAGGCAGGCTCCCAGTGCGTCTCTGGGGAGTTGAGCAGGACAGAGCCCAGGTTAAGTCAGGGCTGGAGAGAGAAGTACTGACTAGGATGTGGGGGCCTGGGGAGCAGGTGGCAACAGCACCAGGAGCCCCCACCAGCTCTCACACATACCTGTCAAACCTGTGCCCTTCTCCAGAGAGGACTGTGCTGAAGGAAGTAAGAGACAGGGCTCGGTGAAGTCAAAGCACCCATGACCCTACGAAAGCATGTGCCCACCTATGGATCTCAAAATGGCAGAAACATCATTCTCACACAAATATATGAAGAAAACCTTCCAGGGACAACCATCGGGATGCCAAAGCTGGGTCAAAGAGTGATGGGAGAAAATTGGCTTATGTGTGTTTGTGTGTGTGTGTGTGTGTGTCCCCTGAATCTTCTGCCTTATTGACAAATTTTGGATAATTTTTTCTTAAGAGGAAAAACTATAGAGGTATAGAGTGTGAGAAAGACTTCAGTTACACCAATTTGGCCTTTAGTAACTAAAGGACCTGCTTGAGAGAAAAATTTGATAAAATTACTTTTGAGCAAGAGCTTTAGTGAGAACTTGAACCTCATCCAACACCAGGAAATGCACAAGAGGGAAGCCATGCACACTTTAGCACTCGAAGAAAAGGTCCTCATGGTGGAGAAATGCTGAACGGGGCCCCAGTTGGGAAAGGACTGGATTTACAGGTAACTGAATATATAAACACACACACACGGAGAAATTTTGGAAACACCTCGATTAAGTGCGTTTCAACTCCAGCTTCATCAGGCAGGAGAGTCCCGGCAAAGCAAGGGCCCTCTGCATGTCCAGAGTACAGAAGCAGCTTTGGCCAGGAGCTAAAATGAAGATCAACCCATAGTCTGGGAAAAATCTCTTCACCGGGCCTGGTCCAACCTGAAATTTTGGCCCACAAACCACTAGAAACCCTGCAGCTACACTCAGGATGTTTATTCTGCTGACTACTTCAGAATATACCCAGTGTCTTTTAGTCATTTATAAGAGTAAATAAAGGATTTCAAGGTCAACCAGACTAGGTCCACATCCTGGCTCTGTCAATCCCTAGCTACATGATTTGAGGTGAATCAGTTAAKTTCTCTGAGCCTCATTTTCTTTTTCACTCACTTAAGATGGGATTAATATTAGCACCCACTTCACAGGAGTCATGAGAATGCAAAAGAAGGTGGATTTAAACACGTCATAGTTAAGCCCTCGTGAATGAAATTGCTTTCTACCACTGGCTTTTTGTTTGGTTTGCCCATTTCCCAGAATTCACAGCTCAGTCTCTGTAAGGTCATCAGCTTGAGCCCTGGGCATGGAGGAGCCCTGCAGCTTGGGCAAAGATGGCTCTGGTGTTACAGAATTTCCCCCATGGCTTAGGAAGTTCCCAAGGGACTACAGAGAATAAAGCACAAAGCTGGAGCTGACTCTTTCTGGGTCTTTTCCAAGGACCCCCTGGGAGAGACACAAATGTTCTCCTGTTTATCTTTGGTGGGTTGCTTAGAGTAGCAGAAATGGTACTAGCAGCAAACTTTCCTTAATGCGCCAAACATGGCTAGAGGGTGAGGCCTGGGGTAAGATGGTTATAGAACATCACACCTGAACTGTGTCACATCAGAAGCAACCTCCTTGTTTTGCAGAGGAGGAGGATTGTCCAACTTAGCAAATAAAATAGAGAATCTGAGTTAAGTTTGAATTTCTGATGCAAGAAAATCACAAAGATTTTTGGCGTAAGTATATCCCAAGATTGTATGGAATATACTTATATTAAAATGTTGTTGTTGTTGTACTTCTGATATTCAAATTTAACTGGGTTTCCTGTATTTTATCTGGCAACCCTGAGAGGACAACTAGGTGATAAAGGAAAGTAACTTGCCRGGGTCATACAGCAAGTTGGTCCCATAGCCAGGTCTGTTGTAGTATCCTAGCCACCAACATATACTTCAACTTTCAGTTTTTAGATTTTGTTTGTTTTGGGTTGTTGTCAACAGCATCGTCTTTGTTTTGTAGTTCTGGGGATAGAACCTAAGCCTCGGTTTTTTAATTGAGGTGAATGGTGAGCTGGGAGCCTCACATTCCCTGTCTATTACACAGAGAACCACTGATTATGTTTCCAAGAGATAAAACAGAATTAATACCTACCAGGGGCAAAGTGGGGTGGTGGGCTGAGGTTAGGATTTCAGGAGACTTAGATCCAAGTCCAGGCTTACCTCCAAGTGGGGGTGACCACGGGTCAGACATTTAACTGCTCTGAATTGGTTTCTTAACTATCAAATGGACACAGCCAGTCCTGTTTCCCAGAGATTGCATTGTGGATCCACTGAGATAAGCAATTCCCGAAAACCTTATTCCTTGTAAATTGTGGAGCCCATTTTACTTTCCTGCCGATTTCATCACGACCCATGAGGACAGGAGGAAGTGTTAGTTGGTTGCCTAGAGCTGAGAGCTGCTCCAAGCTCCTCCATCCCAGCCGGCACCCAAGGGGCTTCGGACTAAATTCCTAGCTTGGCCCACAAAGCGGGACCACTCGGCCCGATTTACGGGAACTCACTCCAGCGATCAATCATCCTTAATTTGTAACTGGGCAGTGTCCCGGGCCAACCAATAGCTAAGACCGGCCCCCCACACCCCACCCTCCCTGACCCCGTGGGACTTAAGCACTCAGTCGGCACTGGTACTGCCTAGTGACTAGGAGTTTGGAGCAGGTTTGGTGCTGGGGGGTGGAGGTGGGGAACCACAGAGTGAAGAGGCCTGGGGAGGGGGGTCTTCTAGTCTCCGTCCCTCTCTCCTCCAGTTCTCTGCTCGCTTTTATCTCCAAAGTCTCTGCGGAGGTTTCCACTAGAGACTTGGGTCTCCTCCTCCTCCTCTTCTCCCCCCGCGCCCTCCCCAGAGCTGCTGTGCCCAGCCCCCTCTGGACCTCCCGTCCCCGCCGCCTGTGGCCTTATTGTCTGGCTAACGCAGGACCCCTCGACGGAACAGATGGACTGAGACCGGGGCTGGGGGAGAGGGAGGGCCGGCCGGTGCCGGGAAAGGGGAGCGGTTTGCGGAAAACAAAACCGTGGGCGGGGCCAGGGAGAAGGTGGTCCCCGAGGGAGGAGGCGGGGCTGGGAGACCGCGGCCGGGGCCTGGACCCAGTGGGGGCGGGCCCGGGGATGGGGTGGGGGCCCCCTGAGCTCCCAGCCTGCGGCCCCGTTCCGACGCGGGCTGGCTTCGCAGGTCGCGGCAGACGTCGCCGCCCAGATGGCCTCCAGGCTGACCCCGCTGACCCTCCTGCTGCTGCTGCTGCTGCTGGCAGGGGTAAGTGGCCCCTTCGCGGGGTGGGGATGGGACGGGGTGGCGGTGGGGCGAGAATTAACCCTTCAGGCCCCGGAGAGTGAGGAGAGCTGCTCCTGGATCCGCACGTGTCAAGTTTGCACCGCGTTCTCCCAGCGCGCAAAGAGCCCCGGACCCGGACCGACGCGGGTTCTAATCCTGGCGGGCCACAAGCTGTGTGTCCCTGGACAGGTCCCCCCTCCCTGTCCTGATTTATAAAAGAGAGAGGAGACCCCACCCTGCCCACCAGACTGGCTTGGCTGGAAGATCACCGAGGGCAAGGAGAGGACAGCGGTGGCAGAGTAGGGGCTGCTGTGACGCTGGTTCTCCGAGGGGGGCCCAGGAGGGACACAYCTGGGCCTCAGTGGAGGTTAATGACAGGGAGGTCCCAGTGCTCTGGAGGTCGGGGATAACAGCTAAAAGCTCAGGTGCAGGAGAAAGGTGATTTTTTTTTTTTTTGCTTGCTTCCCACGCAGTGGGTGCTGCGTGCTGTTTGGGGGAGTCGGCTTCCTGGGTGCCCTTTGAGATTCAGCAGATGATGTAGTTATGAGCGATGGTGGGGGCGCGGGGGCGGAACTTGACTCAGAGACCTGCGTTTGACTCCTGGCTTTTCCTTCCAATCTCTGAGACTCTGGGCTAGTTACTTAATATGTCTCAGGATCAGTTTCTCTGTCTGAAAAATGGGGATAATACCTGGTTTCTCAGCTGGGGAGCTGTTGACAATTAGAGTTGGGGAAAAAACCACTGAGGGGCAGCCCTATGCTGATGTGAAATGTTTTGTAGGACCTCCGACCTCTCCCCACTGGATTCTAGTAGCAACTTCTCTCCTTATGACAAYCCAAAATGCCGCCAGACATTGTTAAATCTCCTTTGAGAGTCAAAATGGCCTCAAATGGTCTGTACTACCTTTTCTGTCTGCCCCCTCTCCCATTTCCCCCATCTTTCCCACCCTTTCTTCTGTCCTTCCTTTGGGAATGCTAATGGTTTGCAGTACCCACCAGTAGGTTCCAACTGACAATTTGAAAATCCAGTGCCCCTAGAACAAGGGCCACAAGCTGGAATGTCTCTTGCTGACCAGGCAAATGAGTCAAAACGGGTGGATATTTTAAGACGACCATCCTTACATGTCAGCAGTGGGTCAGAGATAACAGAATCCAAGATTACCCCTCATCTTCTGCAGAGAATATCCTAAATGCTCTGCCCCTAGCATTGTCCCAGCTCTCAAGAAYAGTGATCTTAGGGCTGGGATGTGGCTCAGTGGCAGAGCCCTTGCCTTGCAAGTATGAGGCACTGGGTTCAATCTTCAGCACCACATCCAAATAAATCAAGAAAGATATTGTATTAAAATAAAAAAGAATTGTGATCTTAGTCCCAAGGCAGGCCCTTCACCCGCCAGACTATAACAGAAATTACTAAGTAGTACAGAATGTTTTGTATATCCCCAGCTCCTCTTCCTGCTTTGAGCATTTCAGGGGACTGTGCTTTGTATGAAAAATGAAACTCAGTTTCTTGGACCACAGGGCAGAGCCTCCTCAAACCCTCATGCCACCAGCCACAGCACAGAGGATCCAGAGAGCCTGCCAGAGGAAAGCAAAGGCATGAACTCGGAGGAAATTAAAGGCATGAACTCGGAGGAAGATGTCTCCAGGAGTCAGTCTTCCTGGCCAACAGCCAGCTTAACATCCAACTCGTCCACCATATTGACAGCTAACACCACTAGTGAATCCAACTCCCAACCAACTACCCAGCTCCCCACCGATCCTCCCACTCAGACCCCTACTGGGCCCTTCTGCCCAGGGCCTGTCACCATCTGCTCTGATGTGGACAGCAAATCAGCAGAGGCCAAATTGGGGGAAGCCTTGGTCGATTTCTCCCTGAAGCTCTACCATGCCTTCTCAGCCACAAAGAAGGTTGAGACCAACATGGCCTTTTCCCCRTTCAGCATCGCCAGTCTCCTCACGCAGCTCCTGCTTGGTAAGACTGACTTCTCTCCAGGCCAGAGGTGGGGCCCTCCCATAAGTGTCACCAACCCAGACACCTGCAAAGCTATGCCACTGGGAGGAAGCTGTAAAATGGGCTACATGGGGGTGTTGGTGGTGGCATATATTTTTATTCTTGAACATTCCTTTATTCCAAAATGATTTAATAGGCATTATGTCTTATAAAAAAAAAAAAAAAAACCTTGTGGACTAATCAAGAACATAGACAACAAGGTCCCCAAAACCACCATGTTCAAGGTAATGCTATAAAGGAGATGAAATCATCAGAGGTTGACCTAGAACAGATCATGGTAATGCTTGCTGTGTGACCTTGGCAGGTCACTTTAACCTCTCTGAGCCTGAGCCCTGATGTGTGGAGATGGTGATGTCTCAAAAGATCAAGAAGCAGGGGCTGGGGTTGTAGCTCAGTGGCAGAACACTTGCTTAGTATATGTGAAGCACTGGGTTCGATTCTCAGCACCACATTAAGTAAATAAATAAAGACATAGTATCCATCTACAACTAAGGCTCTGGAGGCTGAGGCAGGAGGATTGTGAGTTCAAAGCCAGCCTCAGCAACTGCGAGGCGCTAAGCAACTCAGTAAGACCCTGTCTCTAAATGAAATACAAAAATAGGGCTGGGAATGTGGCTCTGTGGTCGAGTGCCCCTGAGTACAATCCCTAATAACCCCCCCCTCCCAAAAAAAGAGCTCAAGAAGCAGCAAGGTGCAGTGGTGCACATCTGTAATCCAAGTGACCCTGGAGGCTGAGGCAAGAGGATTGCCTGGACAACTTAACAAGACCCTGTATTAAAATACAAAATGAAAAGGGTCAGGGATGTAGGTTAGTGGTCAAACACCTTTGGGTTCAATCTCCAGTMCAGAAGAAGAAAAAACAAATCAAGAAGCAGATAGATAGTCTAGAGCCTCTTCTGAGGGATTGCTGTGAGGTTCTGTGGTGTAATTCCCCCAGGAATGGCACGAGCAACTTGGCACAAGCAACTTAACACGAGCAACTTAACTCTGGAGGGGAATTCCAGGATGGCTACTAGAGGCCATGCTGTGAGATATAAGATGCTCCCTCTGGAGTCCCAGAATCCTCACATCCCACTAGTTTCCAGCAGCACCGGGCTCCCCAGTGAGGACAGACACATTGTATCCAAGTTGCCAAATGTCTCCAGTCRCTTGGTTTCAGTTTATTTATTGCCCAAAATGTACAGCTCAATTCCTGCCTCCTCCTTTCACTTTATTACCTCTGTGCCCTTGAATTCAGTAAATTATTTACTCTTTTACACCTCGGTTTCCTCATCTGCATAATGGGAATAATAATTGTCCTTCTGTGGAAGACTTAGGGTAATGACTCAGTGAGATCTGGAAGAAGCACTTAAAATTCCTGGAACCCAGTGAGGGCTCAGTAAATTTTAGTTTATCACTTCACAGAAGACGTGCACAATAAGTATTGAATAATGAATGGATAACTGGAAGGGTGTGAGCATCCATCCTCTTTATGACTTTCTGGATTCTGCTGTAAATAGCGATCTAGCTTCCCTGCCTGTAGGGTGAGCCAACTAAATAATGGTTAATGTGGGACAGGCAGTGTGGTTAGACCTGGCTTTGAAAGATGCCTGGGTTTAAATAGAGAAACAGGAAAGAGGAAGGGGGATATTCAAAAAGCCTAAATGGAAAAGCTGAACTCTGGGATTACTCAAGATTCCCCAGCCCCCATCTTTGTGACCTAATTATTGTCTTCCAAAAGAAGGCTCTAGTTCCAGTGTTCTGTGATCCCCTCCATAGCAGGGAACTCAATTCTGCTTCTAAATGGTGGGTCTCCCACTTCTCTTGCAAGAACCCGTCATCTCTGTCTTTTGTTGTAGGGGCTGGGGACAGCACCAAGAGCAACCTGGAGAGCGTCCTCTCCTACCCCAAGGACTTTGACTGTGTCCACCAGGCCCTGAAAGGGTTCTCGTCCACAGGCGTCACCTCAGTCTCTCAGATCTTCCACAGCCCAGGTGAGCATTCAGTGAGGGCAGCAGCTACAGAGGACCATCCTGAGGGTCCTAATTGGGAAGAGAAGACAGAGGGAGTGTTGGAGCTAGAATATTGGGAATGGAGTCCAGAGGAGTTGAGGGCATTGGTAGGAGGATCTAGTAGCTGAAGGAGCTGGATACTCCCCTGGTGAGACCTGGGAAAGTCATTTGTATTCATTGACTTTTTTAGGAGGTAGGGGAGTGGTGAGGCTACCAGGGGATCGAACTCAGGGGCACTGGACCACTGAGCCACATCTTCAGCCCTATTTTATATTTTATTTATAGACAGGGTCTCACTGAGTTGCTTAGTGTCTCCCTATTGCTGAAGCTGGCTTTGAACTTGAGATTCTCCTGCCTCAGCCTTCTGAGCCATTGGGATTACAGGCATGTGCCACYGAGCTGAACATTGACTTCTTTTAGAATAGAAATGAAGGGGTGGAGTTCTTGCCTAGCATGTGTGAGGCCCTGGGTTCAATTCTCAGTACTGGGGGAGGGAAAAAGTACCAGTAGAATAGAAATGCCCTTTGTATTCATTAATAGGTAGGGCTAGAGAGCCATAGACCTAAAATAGACAAAAATTCTTTTGCTAATTTTTAGGTCAAGGGAATTTTGAGACTCTAATTCTTTGTTCTTTTGTGTTATAGGAATGTGCTATCATTTACATGTATTATATTATTAAATAGCCAATAATCCCAATCAATTATAATATTCTTCCAAAATGATCTAAAGCATTCGTTTTTAAACCTGAGCACTAGGGGTTCTACAGAGTTGCTTCAGCAGTAATGATGGGGCTGGGTATCAGGGAGGCTGAGTGTTGGGGAGTGGGGCATCTCTCTGTGAGAGGGAAGTGGACCCGATGGTCTCTGAGCTCCTACCCAACCTCACTGAGACCCATTTATATTGTGAGCTTTAGAGGTGATGTGATTTGAAAACAGCTCTGCTGCTTTATATAAAAAGTTTAAAAATTACAGATCTGGTCTAATGCACCTTTTATAAAAGAGGAACATTTTCTATCTTTTTTTTTTTTTTTTACTGCAAGCTATGTAGAATACAGAAAATACAAAGAAGTTTAAAAAAGAAAAGAAATAAAACTCACCTAAAAAATCCTCTTTAATATGGAAAAGATACCGAGTGTGATGGTGGTGCACACCTGTAACCCCTGCAGCTCAGGAGGCTGAGGCAGGATGATCATGAGTTCAAAGCCAGCCTCAGCAACTTMGTGAGGCCCTAAACAACTCATGGGACCCTGTCTCTAAATTAAGATATGAAAAAGGGCTGGGGAAGTTGCTCAGTGTTTGAATGCCTCTAGGTTCAATTCCTGATTTTATATATATATAAAACCAGGAAAACACACACACACACACACACACACACACACACACACACATACATATATATATATATATATGAAAGAATGACTCAGAGGTGTCAATAAATATTACATTTACTTCCTTGCTATAAATCAACTTTATCCTTTCTTGCCCCTGAAAAATACAATAGTATTTTAGGGCTTCTCCCCAGGCTGTGCCAAGGCTCTGGGTCTTATGTTGTAACTAAAACATCAGCAAAGCCTGGGGAAATATCTTTGATCTATTTAGACCAGGAAATKTTTCTTTTTCAAACACTGATTTTTGTTTGTTTTTTAACTTTTTTTCCAGTAGATTTGGGCTTTAGAGAACACAAGTCAGGAAGTCTTATCATGAACTGCCCCCTAAGGCCAGGAAGCAGTCTGTTCCCTGATGAATGGAGGGAGGAAAAGAGGGGGAAATACAAGCAAATGGCCGTTAACATCCCACTTGTCTTGCCAGGCAGGCCATGGTCACGTGGCCAGCAGAGAGCCCAGGAGTTCCTCTCCTGCTCTTAGTTCAGGATTTGCTTCCTTTGGGCCTCATTTCTGCATCTGCGATAGAGGAGCGGGAGGGACCCCTGCTTCAACATGAGCAGATGCAACCCTGGGACTGGTGAGGGTGTTCAGGGGCCTCCCTCTGTTGACCTGCCCCTCAGACCTGGCCATAAGGGACAGTTTTGCGAGCACTTCTCAGAGTCTGTATGGCAGCAGCCCCAGAGTCCTGAGCAATGACAGTGATGTCAGCCTGAAGCTCATCAACRATTGGGTGGCTGAGAACACCAACCACAAGATCTCCCAGCTCCTGGACAGTCTRCCCTCTGACACCCGCCTTGTCCTGCTCAATGCTGTCTACCTGAGTGGTAAGGGACACCTCCCAGGTAGTATTCTCATTTGGGGTTCTTCCTATCCTCCTGGCTTCAAAGTCCACCCAACCCTGAGTTCCACAACCATATCCCAAAGTGCCTGTCCCACTCTTTGCTAGGAGAGTCTTCATCCTTTCCCTAACTGCATTAGAACACCCACCCTTTCTTCCCTTTAGCCAAGTGGAAGCAAACATTTGATCACAAAAAAAAGATGGAGTCCTTCTACTTAAAAAACTCTGAGATACAAGTGCCCATGCTGAGTAGCAAGAAGTATCCTGTGGCCCATTTCACTGACCCAACTTTGAAGGCCAAGGTAAGTTCCTGGCCTATCCCCCCTCCTGTTTCAGACCCTGGTTTCTGCTGTAGCCACATCATTTTGCAGTACATCCATACAAAGCCATCATTTCTACTCCTTCCATCTGTATTTCCATCCTAACTTTTGCCCTCCTCCTTTCTCCAGTCTTGACTGAGCCACGCATTCTGTATTTTAGATAGAAAACATGATTCTGAAGTTTCTTGATTCTGCTGCATCGAATGGCAACGAGTGGCCATGCTGCTATTCTGGGCATCTGTTTCTCTTTTCAGTCAGCCCTCTGGGTGGACTGGTGGCTTCACAAGTCCTCTGTGTGTATGTGTGTATTCGTGTGTATCTGCGTGTGGCATGCATAGYATGTGCATAGGTATATCCACGTGGGTGCATATGTGTGGTAAGGACATGTTGGCACATGTGGTAAAAGGCATAAGTTCCTTAGCAAAAATTGAACAATGATTTCAGTAGGTGGGGAAAGAAGGAATATAGAATATGGAGCCCAGAGGATTCTGGTTATTGAACTATCTCATGCCCGGTGACCGGGTGTGTCAGCCTTGTTGGAAGTGCAGACAGGAATCTGAAGGATAGAGATCAGTGGGGGTGCCTCAGTAGGAGACTGGGAGGGAAATCAGCTTTCCTGGTCAGCCAGGTTTGTTCTGTCCTGGGAGCTTTCTCGAGCTTTTCTCTGCCTGGATCCTTCTTCATTCAGATCTTCATATGGCTCTTCTTTAGTTATTTGGGTGTCAGCTCAGAGGTCAATTGAATGGAGAAGCCTTTTCCCCTTTCAAATAACTCCTTCTCACCGGGCAAAGTGGCACACACCTATAATCCCAGTAGCTTGGGAGGCTGAGACAGGAGGATAAAAAGTTCAAAACCAGCCGCAGCAAAAGCATGGTGCTAAGCAACTCAGTGAGACCCTGTCTCTAAATAAAATACAAAATAGGGCTGGGGATGTGGTTCAGTGGTTGAGTGCCCCTGAGTTCAATCCCTGGCACCAAAAAAAAAAAAAAAACTCAGCTCATTCTCATCCTGTAAATTCACCCCATCTTATTATATTCATGGTACCAATMACCATCCAAAATTATGTCATTGATTTGCTTATTTGGTTATAATGGTGTCTATCTCCCTGAGATATATTGTCTTTCTACTTGGGTATAGGACCCATATTGTTTCTTTTTTTTATCTTTTTTCACCGTACCAGAGCCTTGTACRTGTTAGTGCAGTACTCTACCACTGAACCTCCAGTCATATTTTTTATTTTGAAACTGTCTTGCTAAGTTGCCCAGGCTGGTCTCAAACTTCTGATCCTCCTGCCTTAGCCTCCTGAATTGAGTTGCCGAGTGGCTACATAGGCATGCACCACTATGCCTGACTTTGATTTTCTTTYCATACATGTCAAATGCCTGACAGTGCAGAATTGCAACTCTACATGGCCATTATCATCTTAGTACCTAAAGCCCATTTGTGAACTTCAAATTAAATTTAAAGAGTAAATCAACTCCCAACTAACATTCCAATATCATTCTCAAACTTAATGAAATTATTCTGTACCTTTTTGCCCCAAAGCATAAAAATTAGCATATCAGATTATTTTAAAAATTGTAAATAAATGGGTTCAATCCCCAGCACCACACACATTCACACACAAAATTGTAAATACAGGCAAGGTGTGGTGGCATGTATCTGTAATCCCAGWGGCTCAGGAGGCTGAGGCAGGAAGATGGTAAATTCAAAGCCAGCCTTAGCAACTTAGTGAGGCTCTAAGCAACTTAGCAAAACCCTATCTCTAAGTAAAATATAAAAAGGACTGAGGATGTAGTTCAGTATTTGTGTGCCCCTGGGTTCAATCCCTGGTACCAAAAAAAAAAAAAAAAAAAAAGAAAAAGAAAATTACAAACACAGATTACCCTGAGTGTAATCCCTGATGTTAATGTTATTGAATTGGTTTACTATGTCATTCCCATGCTAAATTCCAAATCTTCCTGGGACTTCGGGTGTTTACCAAGTATAGGAGTTAGATTTGCTGACGCTGGTATGTTGAGGTCATTGGCTTAGAAATTCAAGACCACCACATGGTAAATATTTTTGGTCAGAGATTCAAAGTCCATCATTCTTCAAAGTTCTTGTCTACCTCTTCACCCCAACCATAATGTCATCTAATGATACTCCTCTCTTACTGGAATTTTTCAGCCTTGGCACCGTTGACATTTGGGTTGSATAATTCTTCCGTGTGGGGACCTGTCTTGTGGGATTTAACATCATCCTTGGCTTCTAATCATTAGAAGCCAGTAGTAGCACTGTTTGTACATCCTGCCCCACCCCACTGGCCAGGCCACCAAAATGTCTCCAGCCATTACCCAATGTCCACTAGAGGAGACATTTGCTCCAGAACAAGAACTACAGGTCCTGCACCTTCTCACATACTTATTTTTTTTGGGGGGGAGGGGGGCGGGCAGGGGAGGCGGCATCAGTTAAAGTCCTTTTTTTTTAATCACACAATGCCTTTAGTTTATTATGTAGTGCTAAGGATCGAACCCAGTGCCTCACATGTGCTATGCAGATGCTCTACCATTGAGCCACAACCCCAGCCCCCAGTTAAAGTCCTTCTGATGGCAAGCTGAGCCTGGGAGCCATCTTGAATGCCGTACCAACAGATCAGCACTTAATCTCATCGGCAGTGAAGTGCCATCAAAAGTTTTTTTTTTTTTTTTCATCAAAAGTTTTTAATGACCCGAGCATGGTAGGTGCACTCCTGTAATCCCAGTGACTCAGGAGACTGAGGCTGGAGGATGGCAAGTTCGAGGGCAGCAGGTAACTTAGTAAAGACCCTGCCTCAAAAACAATTTTTTTTTTAAAGAACTGGGGATTTAGTTCAGTGGTAGAACTGGTTTAGTCCCCAATACCACAATAAAAAAAGTTTTTAAAGGGATTGACCTGGTAACTCTGGTGACGCTTGTAGATTGTATACTTCGTGCACAACCCACTTGGCAGAAAGGAAGCAGGGCTCTCACAGGGGTGATCCCTTGCCTGTTACTGCATAGCTAGTCAGGAGTAATCAGGGATGAATTTTGTGCTGTTCCTCTGCCTCTCACTAGCACAGTTAGTCCAGCCTGTTGGTTTTGACCAGCTGGGAACTCCATGGCATAGCACAGCACGGGACTAGTTCCGGCTGCTGATTGTTGAAATAGCACACACTGGAGACAGCCTTGGAACCCAAGGTGGGGGCCAGGAGAGAGCTGGGGAGGAAGACGGAGAAGGTGCCTGTCTTATCCTCTAGGTGGGGCAGCTGCAGCTCTCGMACAACCTGAGCTTTGTGATCATGGTGCCTCAGAAGCTGAAGCAGCCTCTTGAAGACGTGGAGCAGGCTCTCAATCCCACYGTCTTCAAGGCCATCATGAAGAAGCTGGAGCTGTCCAAGTTCCAGCCCACTTACCTGATGATGCCCCGCATCAAAGTGAAGAGTAACCAAGACATGCTGTCAATCATGGAGAAACTGGGTGAGTCCCGGCAGCTTGAGGTTCCTCCCAGGCCATCAGAGGATGAAAGTGAGGGTGGCCCCTAAAACACAGCATTCTAGGATTTTTTATTCATCCATCATCTCRGGTGGTYCCTCAACCCTGCRAGTTAAAGGAGTAGGTGCTATTATCCCATTGGATCCCACTGAGGAAACACACTCCAGAAACTCTATGAGACTTACTCAGAGTTTACGTGACTTACCCTGGAGCTAGTTAGAAGCAAACCAGAACACCAGTACAGATCTCCAGTTCTCTTGGAGGCTTCTACTATGGCTCACTGTGACACAGACACTGAGTGAAGTGGCCAAGGTGGGTCATGGATGCTCCTTCCCCAGAGGCATCTGTAACAGTCAACCACCCCAAGGAACACATCTGGGTATKAATTTGGGAGAAGCAACAGAGACTCCATTTCCTAGCCTTTGGCCTTTGGCCTTAGGCCTAGATCTGTCACTTGGTTTCCTGTGATAGGACCTGACCACCCCATACACAATCTCACTTTCTAGGATGTGGCATCTGCTTTACTCTGCATTCCCATTTGACACTTCTGGTCATCAGCTGGGTGGCGATTTCTTCCCCACCCCAAACAGTTCTACAGCTCTCTGCAGACACAAACTGTGTGTCCTCCAATTTAAGTCAGATTCCTGCAAGACCACCCCGACTCAGATACCTGTCTCAAGACTAGGATGATACCCATGCTTCTGAGCAACCATCTATAAACCAGARGGTCCCACAGCCCCCTCCCTGAGTTTTGTCTTTGTTAGAATGGCTGACAAAACTCAAGGAGCTGGTTTGTTTACTGGTTTAATTATAATAAAGGACACAGAGAAATAGCCAGATGAAAAGGTAAGTAGGGCAAAATCTTGAAGGGTCGCTGGCAGGGAGCTCCTGTCCCCAGGGGATTAGAGTACACAGCCCTTCCTGMACATGCATGTGGTCACTAACTGGAAGCTCTCTGAATCCCATACTTTAATATTATTTTTATGGCAGCTTTATTACAAAGGCCTGAGTAATTATTAACTCGCCCACTCCCTGCTTCTGTCCCCTCCGTAGAGGATGGGGAGTGGGGCTGTCATTTCCAAGCTCTGTTCATGACTTGGTCATGCCAGAGGTTAGCCCCCATCYAGGAGCCCACCAAAAGTCACCTCTTTGGAAGAAAAGACACTCCTAACACCAAGGAGATTCCGAGGGAATTAGGAGTTTAGTGTCAGGAGCCAGGGTCAAAGACCAAATGTTAGAACAAAAAGATGTTCCTAGGGGCTGGGATTGTGGCTCAGCGGTAAAGAACTTGCCTAGCACGGGCAGGACCTGGGTTCAATCCTCAGCACCACATAAAAATAAAGGCATTGTGTTGTCTCCATCTACACCTAAAAAATAAATATTTAAAAATAAATAAATAAAAAAGATGTTCCTAGCTCCCCTATTTGCTAAGGCAATTGTGAAGGTGTTAGGAGCTTGCTGTTAGGTATTTTAGGCAGAGACCAAGATATGTATTTCTTATTATTTCACAGCATCACACCCTTGTAGGTGATCTTGGTTCATAACAAATGACCTCTCTCTGATAGATCTCTTTTCTTCCAAAGACTTTGGGAATAAAGAAGTAATGACATCATTTTTCAAGGGTATTTTGGAGGTGGGTGGGGATAAGGCCTCCCATATTTGAGAAAGAGTGCTGGTTGGGCCCACTGATAGAGGATTCCACGACCAGGACCAGAAGGCACCAGAAACCACAGTGTGGAATCTGACAAGCTGGGGAGGAGGAGGAAGAGAGTGCAGGGCCCTGAGACTAGTAGAAATTTTAAGGCTCCATCAGCTGAGTTTCCTGCTGGTCTCTGACTTTGTTTTTCTCYGGGTTTGCCCTAGAATTCTTTGACTTTATAAATGACCTCAACCTGTGCGGACTCACAGAGGACCCGGATCTCCAGGTGTCCACAATGCAGCACCAGACCCTGTTGGAGCTCACTGAGACAGGTGTGGAGGTGGCRGCAGCCTCTGCCGTCTCCATGGCCCGCAGCCTGCAGGTCTTCGAGGTGCAGCAGCCCTTCCTCTTCCTGCTCTGGGACCAGCAGCACAAGTTCCCTGTCTTCATGGGACGGGTGTATGACCCTAGTGTCTGAGATCTGTGGGGGATCAGGTTAGGGTAAGCCCTACCACCCAAGCCTCAGCTCTCCCACTTGGAGCTATGCCACTGCCTGCCCAGCCACTTTCCACCTAAAGGGCTCTTGTCTCCAGCCACTTTCCACCTAAAGGGCTCCCTTAGGGTGTGGCAGAGCGACCTGCTTCCCCATGGCCCTGTCATGTTTTCCAAATCACTTTTTGCAGCTTTCTCTGGTTCAAGTTCACCAAACTCTACAAATAAACCCTGGCAGACTATGGTTTCTCACATTTTCCTTTGGATAGCAGCTAGCTCAATATTAGGCAACCAGAGTTGCCATGCTCCCTCTATCAGCTAGCTCTTGCTGGATCATAAGTCATTCTAAAGTTGGTAACTTAAAGCAGCAAGCAACCATTTATTATTTCCCATGAGTCTCAGGATTGACTTGGTGGTCTTGCTGATCTGGGCTGGACCTGGCCCACCCTCCMGGGGCTCACACATACATCTGTCATAGTTAGCCAGTTGGTTGTGGGATGACTGGTCTTTGATGGTCTCAGCTGGCACTTGTTGGCTCTCTTCCACATGTCTCCTGCATCCTTCCACCAGATTAACCTGAAACGGCAAGGTGCCAAGAAAGAAATCAGAAGCAGACAGTCTCTTCAGCCCACATCTGCTTGCATGCATCAAGTCCCATCAGCCAAAGCAAACGATGTGGCCAAACCTAMAGTTAGAGTGGAAGAGTTCTACAAYATCATGGGGCAGCAATCCATTAATGAGGATCCTAATGCAATCCATCTATAACAGTCCTAATCTTGCTTTTATCTGTCTACAACAACTGTGACCATAGTAATTATAGCTGACATTGTTGAGAATTTGCATAGGCATGCTACAAAGACTTTTGCAGACATGTGATCCTTTTTTCCTCTTCCTCCTCCATCTCCGGCCTTTATTTATTTATTTATTTATTTATTTATTTATTTATTTTTAATTTTGAGACAAGGTTTTGCTGTGTTGCTTCAGCTGGCCTCAAATTTGTGATCCTCCTGCCTTAGCCTCCCAAATCACTGGGATTACAGGCATGCACCACAGTGCCTGGCTAGACATTTAATCCCTGCAATAATCTTACCTGGTACACTCAGACTGTTCAAAGTCATGCAGTTAGGATATGGTAGAGCTGGGATTTGAAAGCAATCTCTATGATTTTTAAATATGTCTAAAGACATACCTACWGTCTTCTAGGTCTTTGACCTTCTCAAACACCTGCTTTTTCTTAATATTTATTTATTTGAAAAAAATTATAGAATGCTTTGTACTATGTGAAGCACTGACGATATAAAGATGAAAACCTAGTGCTATCCTTAAAACCTGTGGCCTGAAGGGAAAGACAGATAGGAAAATAGATCCCAGGGCTGGGGATATAGCTCAGTTGGTAGAGTGCTTGCCTCACATGCACAAGGCCCTGGGTTCAATCCCCAGCACCACACACACAAAAAAAGAGATTCCAGCCAGGTGTGGTAGCACAGGCCTGGAGTCCCAACGACTCAGGAGGCTGAGGCAGGAGGATTTTAAGTCCAAAGCCAGCCTCAGCAATTTAGCCAGACCCTAAGCAACTTATGGAGACCCTGTTTCAAAAAATAAAAAGGGCTAGGGCTGGGGATGTGGCTCAGTGGGTAAGTACCCCTGGGTTCGTTCCCCTATCCCAACCAAAATAAAATAAAACAAAAATAAATAAATAGAGATTTATTATTAGGGATTGGCTCACCTGATTATGATAGCTAAGAAGTCACAATCTGCAGTCTGCAAGCTGGAGACCAAGGAAGTTGGTGGCATAGTTTCAGTCCAAACCCAAAGGCCCGAAAACCCCAGGGACCAACGGTCTAAGTTCCAGTTGGAGTTGAAGGTCTGAGAACTCGAAACGCCCATGTCCCAGGGCAGGAGACAGGAGGTGCCAGCTGAAGAAGACAGGGAGTTCATTCTTCCTCTGCCTTTTTGTCCTACTCAGGCACTCAGTGGACCGGTGGATGCCCGCTCATGTTGGTGGGGCAGTCTTTAAGACAATCTAGGGATTCTAAATGTTGATTTCTCCCRGAAACACTCTCACAGATACACCCAGATACAATGTTTTACCAACTATTTGAACATCCCTTAGGCCAATTAGGTTGACACACAGATTCATTAACACACTCTCTTTTCTCAGTCTCCTCTAAGCCAATCTTTCAGGCTGCTGAGCTGGTCTTGCCCTGACTCTTATCTGAGGAACTTTTGACAGCAAAGGCTCCTGCCAACAGGGAGCCGTCCCACTGCCCTTGGAGAAGATCCTGACGTGATGAAGATGGTGCTCAGGACCAGCCTGAGATGTCGGCAAGCCAAGTGAAGGAGCAAAAAGTGGCAGGACACAGCAGAGCACGTCTGTCATTTCAGCACACAGGAGGCTGAGGCAGGAGGATTAAAAATTCCAAGCCAGCTTGGGCAACTTAGGAAGACCCTGTCTCAAAATAGAAAATAATTAGAAGTGGACATGTAGCTCAGTGGTAGAGCACCCTAGGTTCAATCCCCAGTACAGGGGGAAAAAAAAGAGGTATTATGACCCATGATAGGCACAATACCCTGCAAATCGCTTTGCCCCTCCCCGTCATGCTGAGAGCCAGGTAATAATATTCCTGTTTGTGAAATGAGGAAACAAAATGTCAGATAGACTAAGTAATTATTCAGAGGTCACACATCTGTAAATTGACCCCACGTTGTTTGAATTCAAATGTCACAGGTGATTTATTTGGTCAGGCTTATTTCCTTTCTTCCTGAACTAGAATATAATTCAGATCTGTGTCGTTTTGGGCCCTTTACAACATGTTCTCGCCCCAGCCTATCAATGCACCTTCCACCAAAAAGGAAAAAAAGAAATCTATTAAATAAACAAATGAATCATCACATGCAGGTAACAGGAAAGAGGAGATTCTGTTTTTCTTTTTTTCTTTCTTATTTTTTTGGTACTGGGGATTTAACACAGGGCACTCAACCATTGAGCCACATCCTCAGCCCTTTTTAAAATAAAAAATTTTGTTTTTTAAATTTTGATACAATGTCTCACTAAGTTGATTAGGGCCTTGCTAAATTGCTTAGGCTGTTCTCATTTGGAAACAATAGAAAATCTGGGAGTGAAGAAAATTTAAACATTTTTTTGTCATGGCTTTTTATTTATTTTATTTTTTATAAGCGGTGTCACATTATGTTTATTTAAAACAAGGAACATTTATTTAGCTCAGGTGTTATTTAGTCAGTGTGGACCTGGTAGGTCTAGGGTGGCCCTGGATGGGTGCCCAGGGGCTAGCTGGACGGTCTGAGGAGGTTTGACCTTGCTGAGCTGTGTAGACTATTGCACGTGTCTTGTGCCGTGGTAGAAAGGGTCAGCTGGCTGACTCTCTCCTGTGTGAAYTTCCCAGGAGGCTATGGAATATGGTCTTATTCAAATGGAGGTTGTAAAAGTTCAAGAAGACAAGCCCAGGMATTCAAGGACCCTTGAATCTGAAAGTGGGAAGTAATACTTCTGCTTTGTGCTATTAGCCAAATGGAGTCAACAAACCAGCTCAGATTGGAGGAGTAAGGAAAGAATCTCCATTTCATGAAAGACCTGCATGGGGAAGAGAGAGGTCACATGTCTATGATCCTGGCCACTTGTGAGGCTGAAGTAGGAGGATCACCAGAGGCCAGTCTGGGCAATTTATGAGATCTCATCTCAAAAAATAAAAGGACAGGGGTGTAGCTCAGTGGTAGTACGCTCCCGGGTTCAATCCCCAATATCTAAACGGTTGGGGATATAGCTAAATTGGCAGAGTGCTTGCCTTGCCTTGCATGCACAAGGCCCTGGGTTCAATCCTCAGTACCACACACACACACACACACACACACACACACACACCTGAATCTCAATATCACAAAACAAGCAAAAAAAAAAAAAAAAAAACCACAAAAACCTTGTAGTCATTCTGCAAAGGGCATGGATATATGGAAACATGAATAAATCTGACCATGTTTCCAATCTACRTAAGCAGTCTTACATATTTGTAGAGAAACTATTAGCAAGTTTCCTAGCAAGTTGCTCCTCTGAGTTTTTCCTTAAAGATTCAAGAGATTTTTTGACTATATCATTATAATATTAGAAACAAATCTGATTCATAGAGTTTCAAGCTGCTTGCATTGTAAATTTATTCTTCTTTTTATTTTTATATCGGTGTGTTTAGCTTCTCCCCCTCTTCTTCCACCTGTGTGTATCTTTTTTTAATTTTTAAAAATTTATTTATTTATTTTTATTTTTAATTAGGTATATATGACAGCAGAATGCATTTTGATTCATTGTACACGAATGCACCACAACTTTACATTTCTATGGTTGTACACGATGTASCTTTGCACCATATGTGCAGTCATACATGTACCTAGGGTAATGATGTCCATCTCATTCCACCCTCTTTCCTACCCCCATGCCCCCACCCCACCCTATCCCTACCTCCCCTTTGCCCCATCAAAGTTTCTCCATTTTTCCCATGTTCCCCACATTATAGATCAGCATCCACTTATCAGAGAGAACATTCAGCCTTTGGGTTTTGGGGATTGGTTTACTTCACTTAGCATGATATTCTCCAACTCCATCCATTTACCTGCAAATGCCATGATTTTTTGGGAAAGACAGGGATAATCCACTCAGACCATAACCTTAAGACCCCCCCTCCCCATCCTGCAATTCTACTCTGGAATCGGCCAAGTCTTGTATGTTGGAACCTGTTCCAGTGGTCTGCTTCCTGCCCTCGACTACACAGGCACCAACTGTCTAATTAGGGTTCTTTTGCAGTTAGTCTTTCCACCACATGATGGCGCTGTTGAAGCTTTGTTCTGTATAGCCTCGTGGTCATTGCCATTCCTTTTCCTATGAGATGTTTTTGCTAACCCAGACTCTTTTATTCAAATACAAAATGCTTCACGAATTTGCATGTCATCCTGGAACAGGGGCCATGCTAATCTTCCTTGTATAGTTCCAATTTTATATAAATGCTGATGAAGTGAGGACTGGTCCAGATTCCTAAACTGCTCAACATAAAAAGAGTTTAAACAGTAATTCAGGGATAGGATATGGCTGAGTGGCAGAGTGCTTGGCTACTCCAGAGCCTTGAGTTTTATTTCCAGCACTGTGGGGGGGAAAAAAGCAATGGGAAAAAAAAAATCAACCAATGAAGCAAACAACAACAACAACAACAACAACAAAAAATCCTTTGATTCTTAAGTTTAAAGTTTATACTAGTTCAGCCACTATTTCCCAAAGGTCAATACTTTGGATTCTGCCTGGATTCTTAAAAGTTCAGACCTGAGCCACATGTGGTTTCAGAACCATACTTATCCCTACAAATCCTTAAGGTCTTTTCTTGAGCCATGACTGGTGAGCACAATAGTAGCAACAACTATCTAACATACATATTAGACGCTCGCCGTCTCAGCATGCTGTTAGGTCTGTGCTAAGAACTTTACATGGATTATGTGGTGGTTCATTTTAGATGCCAGCTTGACTCTGTTAAGGGATCCCTGGACAGCTGGTAAAGCATTATTTCTGGGTGTGTCYGGGAGGCTATTTCCAGAGGAGATTGGCAAATGAGTCAGTGGACTGGGTTGGGAAGATCTGCCTTCAGTGTGGGTGGTCACCATCTGATTGTCTGGGGGCGCAGGTGGAAAAAAAAAAGTAGAGCAGGCAAATTTGTGCTCTCTCTCCTGGAGCTGAGACACCMTTCTTTTACCCTTAGACATCAGAACTCCATGTTTTCTGGCCCATAGATTCTAACACTTTCACCAGCAGCCCCAGTTCTCAGAACTTTGACCTCTGACAGGAAATTATACTATTGACTTCCTTGGTTCTGAGGCCTTTGAACTTGGACTGTGCCTTGGTCTTAGTTTTCCTGATAGTCCAGCTTRCAGATGGCTGTCTCAGCCGCTGTCATCATGTGGGTCAGTTCTCCACATAACTCTTCTCCTATGGGTCTATCTGCCTATTTATAGATGGGTAGGTAGATACCTACCTACCTAGAGACTTGCATATACTAGTTAAGTTCTCTACCACTGAACTACACCCCCAGCCGTAGTTCTGTTTCTCTGGAGAACCTAATACAGATTATATCATTTCATTTAAGAGCAGATCGCACCTTATGAAAGGGAAATATTTACTGAAGACATGGGATAATTCAATACTTAGATGATTTAACACCATGATTTCCCGAAGAACAGCTGTAAGAGATAGAAAGCAGAATCTTTAACCATTGTGGAATATTTTAGTCTCCATGCTATTTTTTTATTTACTAAACATTAAACAGAGTAGATGTTCCCAAATTAACTGCTTGGCATATCATGATAACTATTTGGGCTTTTCCATAGTGTTTTATCATATCTAACCTCTATTACAAAGTTATTGATTTTGGAGAGTGTTTTTGGCACCAATACCATCGCATAATGAACTTTGAGATAACATCATTCCAGGATACAGATAACATTTTAAGTGATAATGCTGAATGTTAATATCACAGCACAWTAGTCATTAATGTCACTATCAGAAATTATGATGTACATAAACAACAGCTCGATTCACATAAGATAAGCACTGATGGCAGTTATTTACTRTTGCCAGCTCAAGTGGCACTGTCATTAGCAATAATTAGAAATACAATTTATGAGCCCCTGAGCCAGCCAAATTYGAAATTGTGTAAACTTTGGTGATTTCTTTTTTCTTATTTTAGGTAGATTTGTCATCWTTCAAATTTGTATAATTAAAATTTACATAATATACAATAGCAAAACACCATTTTTAATCCCTTTTTATAAATGAAAATATGAAGCCTAGGGAGCAGTTAATCTAATCTGCTTATTTAAGGTCTCATAGTTAATAATCGGAATTAGGAGTGTACCCCAGTGTCTGGCTCCAGAACCGTGCTCAGTACTCAAGACTTCATTTCTCACAAGGTAATTTTATCTCAGAGAACATATTGATATCCCTTTTCCTAAGCCTTGGTTGAAATTACATTCGTCTCTTCCACCAAATTTGCCATAATTTTGAACCTTAGGAAGAAATGTTGGGAAAATATGAATTCTCCTTATCCCAGAAAAACCCGACGTAAACTGAGACACCTCCTCCCTCCAGGGACCTCAAGTGACAGCTTCCATAGAAGCACATAGACCTCTATTCTTCCCTCTCAGAACAGGGGCGCCCACCATCTGCATGCCTCAGAGGGACTAGTCAAGTGAATTGTGAAACTGAGAGTCGGCTTCAGGTGGCACAGATCAAAGTCTAGCATTTCAATCACCCTCTCATTTCATACTCGATCCAGCCTTTGTCTTGGCTAGCAATTTAACACATGTATCCTTGTACATATATAAGCACAGGAAGCATACATACATATATACACATTCACATGCACTGATAGAAGAGACACAGATATATGCACATATTCATACTCACACCCTTGTACAAGTGCACATGCTCTATCCTCTGAAAATCTGTGCCAGAATGAGGGGGAAGACTTTACTTCCTAGTSCCAGCCCTACTCCCTGGGGAGAGCCTCCTGGGTGTGAGGGACCAGGGAACAGATCCCAGGCSTAGAGTCACAGAACTTATTATCACTAATTACAAGCCTTAAAATAGGCTCATCCATCATCCTGGAGTGACCACTGGTCCTGCAGCCCGCCTCCTGGACTCCTGGTCCCCTCCCCCATTCCAGTCTATTTATCCTTGAATGAGCATAGATCTGCTCCACAGAGTGAAAAAAAAAATTATACAATACTCAGTCCTTTCCAAAAACATAAATATGGGCATGCCCCAGCTCAGATTRTTAGCCTTCTGCTCTTCTTTCCACACCCTGGAGAGTTCGTGTGAATCTGTCCCCCTTCGCCACCCCCCACCCCGTGCAAAACTCCCTTTCAATTATGCTTTCATATGTGCCCCATTCTGGGTTTCATTTTCAGTATTTCATAAAMGTTTTGCAATAATCCTGTGGCTTGGAATTGTTTTGCCATGTTTACAAAGGAAAAGAAGCTTCTAAGAATCATTTGCCCAGGGTCACCCATCTGACTGGAGCATTCAAAGGAGGACCTACCAGTGGCATATCCTTCTCACACTGCACTGGACCTTCTGTGCAAGGAACTTCCCAAATCAGCTGTCAGGATTGAAGAGCCAGTTCTATGACTGAGCATTTCCTCTTAGAAGCCGCACTGGGACCTCTTCTTCATCTTCTCTCTCCTAAGTCAGTGTAAGAGCCAAAAGTTGCATTAGTCCCACAGTGAGACACCCAACACCAACCCCAAGGGCCACAGGTCAGGGACTGAGCAGAAAATGCAAGGCAACAGAGCTATCCAGGGTGGAAGTGTTCTTCTGTGGGCCACATTGATGTGACCACAGTGTGCCAGTCTCTTGGCTGGCTCCAGGGCATGACATCAGAGTCAGCTCCTACTCTGCTGTCCAAGCCAGACGGTCAGCCCTGGATGTTCATCCCCTGACCATCGAAATGAGGCCAGAATGGGACTCATTAGAAAAACTTCTCCCCTGCTGAAATAATTTTGAAAACCTCCTAGAAGATGTCTTTTTGTCATTATCCTCAGTTTCTAACATGGAGTCTGGCACCTACAGAGTTGCCACTCAGTAGATACTGCCTAAAACAAAACAAAGCAAAGCAAATGGAAGAAGGAGAAGGAGGAGAAGAAGACCGTCCTAGATCTTGTCCAGTTAAGTGCCTCTTCTGAGTCCATTGCAAACCCCCATCTCCCAAAAGTGTTTGCTGCTCTTCCCAGGACCGAGCATCATGGCCTTGCAAAATCAGTAACATATTCATGAGTTTTTCCTTTTCACTCCAGCTATTAGGAAGCTCCTTTTGAATCTGATTCAGACCATGCTTCTCTCCTATCACCTAAGCCTRCCAATGCTCAGCAACACCACTGTTTCAAAAAGTGTGCGATGACCACATTGGGATGAAGTTTTTACTTTATAATGATGACATCGATGTTATTCTTATGTAAGTGTCTCTTTGGGAGACATGGAGGAAGGGATCCCAAAGCATAGCTTCTCCATTGTTCTAAGCTAGGATTTTACCTTTTGAGTTATCTTTCTTCTCTTCTCTTTTTGATTTTGCTCATTTATTTCTTGGTGCTGGGGATTGAACCTAGGGCCTCTGCATGCCAGGCAAGCTCTCTACTAGTGAGCTGTATCCTCAGCCCACAAGTTATCTTTCAATGAGGGAATTACCCATCTGTGTCTTCCCTACTCCCTGCTGCTCCGAGTTTTTGTTTCTTGGGGTCAGGATTTGAGACTCCACCAATGTATGACTTTGTTTTTATTTACTTGTTGTAGTTTAGATATGAGGTATCCCTGCAAAGCTCATGTGTGAGACAATGTAAGAAGGCTTAGAGGTGAAATGATTGAGTGTTGAGAACTCAATTCCAATCACTGAATTAATCCCCTAATARAGATTAAATGGATGGTCACTGTAGGCAGGTGGGTGTGGCTGGAGGAGGTGGGTTATTGGGAGCACGTCTTTGGGATATATATATTTTGTACAGGGTAAGTACATAATGTGCTTCCTGATCATGTGCTGAGCTACTTTCCTCTGCCACACACTTCTGTCATGATGTTCTCCYTCATCTCAGGCTCTGAGGAATAGAGTTGACCATCTATAGACTGAGACCTCTGAAACCATGAGCCCCAAAATAAACTTTTCCCTTTTTTTWATTTATTTAGTTTTTTTGAAGCAGGGTCTTATTAAGTTGCTGAGGGCCTCGCTACATTGCGGAGGCTGGCTTTCAATCGGCAATCCTCCGGCCTCAGCTTTCCAAGTCACTGGGATTACAGGCATGTACGATACCTGGTGGATGGATGGTTTTGATCAGATGCGAGRGGTGGTTTTTACCTTTAAGGAAGTAAGCATCTGGAGTCTGAAATTACAGCTGCTCTGAGATTAGACAGTGTAGCATCCCTGCAGATTGGCTTTCCCTAACGATTCAAATAGACCACCTCGAGAGAATCTATACTCTGTTATTGTCCT